CCCGCCGTGGTCACCAGCACGTCCACCTGCACAGGGAGGGGCTCAGGACCCTGGGGGACACCCCGAGGACACCCCAGGAATCTCGGGGACACCCTGTCCCCTGGGTGTCCCTTGTCCCTGCCATCCCCCGTTCCGTGCTCTCCCTGACCGCGGAGCTGTGTCCCCATACCCCCACCTGTCCCAGGTGTGTCCCCCCAAGTACCCAAGTGTCCTCCCCATCCCTGCTCTCCCCTGCTGTCCCCCCCCATGTCCCCAGTGTCCCCCCCCATGTCCCCAGTGTCCCCCCAGTCACCATTCCGTGCTGGACGAGGTATCGGATGCTCTCCCTGACCCCGGAGCTCACGAGGTTGGAGGTGAAGCCCAGGAAGATGGTGCAGCCCGAGGGCGGCCGCGGCCCCGCCAGGGCCCCCCGCTCCCGCTGCTCTGGAGTCAGGGGCTGCAGCTTGGCCGAGATCTGGGGGGAGGGACGGGGGGGGTTGGGCCACACCGAGACCCCCGGGATTCCCCCCCCCCGGATCCTCACCCGGCCACCCCCTTCCCCCCGATGTGACCCACGGGAACGGCCCTGGGACCCCTCCCCGGGACTTTCCCTCCCCCCCGTTTGACCCCTCCCAGGACCCCCCTTCCCCCCGTGCCCGCACCATCCTCTGGATCTCGGCCACGGCCCGCGCGAAGCTCGTGGCCTGGAAGCCGGTGGTGCGGAAGGAGCGGAGCAGCTCCGCCAGGTCGGGGCCGCTCGCGAAGTCGTACCCGCGCACCGGCAGCGCCTCGGCCGGCAGGGCCCCGCTGGGCCGCAGCACGGCCCGGAGCGCCTCGGCCGGGGGGTCTCCGGGGCCCGGGGGCGGTTCCGGGGCCTCCCCCGGAGCCTCTCCCGGGGCCGCCATGGCTCGGCCGGGCCGCTCAGGGCGCCGCCATCTTGGGCCGCCCCCACCCCTCTGTGCGCCTGCGCGCCACCTTCTTGTGCCGCCCTCCGCCGCCGTACGGCTGCGCGCCGCCATCTTGGTTCCTACGCTGACAGAGGCCTGCGCGCCGCCATCTTGGCGCTACGGCGGCCGCGGAGCGCCAAGAGCCGCGCGGACGCGAACGGCCTCGGTGCCGACAGAGCCCCGAAACCTCCGCAACCCCCCCCCGCCCCCCCCCGAATTCACCCCCAAAACCGCGGGGAGACACAAACCCCGCTCCAGTCCAATTCTTTAATACAACCAACAGCTTCCAGCCACATCCAGACCCCGGATCCGGGCCCGGCCTCCCTCCCACGTTGGGGGCGCAGGGGGGGCCCCGGGGGGCTCGGGCTGAGCCCCCCCC